GACGAACTTAATGAAAGAATTTAATTCAAATGGAGTTGGAGGGGGATGAACGACTACCATTTCTGGATATTGAAGTTATTCAATCCAAAGGGAAACTAATGAGGAGACTATACAGAAAGAATTCAAATGCGGAAATAATCCTTAATATCCAGTCTCCTCATAACTATAGACTGAAGATAGGAATACTGAAGAGTTTGATCATCAGAAGCTTACGACTAAGGGACACTGAGTTCTGGGACGAGGATTTTGACAAATTGAAACAGATTTGCCTTAGTAATGGTTACCCCAGAGAATTTATAGAAAAAAATGTGGGGGTTATAAAGGACAGATTTCAACTCGGATTTTATGAAAATCAGATCAGGAATCAGGTAGACGACCAGAAGTGGATTTGCCTGCTCTCATCAGAACTGAGCCATCAATTGCGTCCGTTACCAAGAAAATGGAATATCAAGGTGATAATAAAGGAGAAGAAAACACTTTTCTCCAGTCTGCCGACTCAACACAAGAAGCCTGACAAACTTGATTGCTCGGGAGTTTATCGCATCGAAATTCGGAAACTTTGCGCAAAAGTATATCGGTGAAACATGAAGAAAAATCGGCCCTACGAATCAAGGTATATGAAAGACTGTGCATGAACATGGATAGGGAAAGATCCGAAATAGCGGAACACATTGCACGAAATGGGCATAAAATCGACCGAAAAGTTGGCTGCATCTGATGAAAATACGAGAAAACGCAAGATCCGAGAGGCCATCGAAATACTGACCGAGAGAAATCTAATGAACAGGAGACTGGAAGAGGCAGGATCATCATAAACTCTGCATATTGCCTAAAAAACTCGGAGAAGACCAGGCAACAGCAAGATCAGAAAAAAGAAGACGACTGGATCAAGGTACTATTCTTAATTTTAGGAAAAGAAATTGAAGGGAGATGAGAAAGGAACAATCAGAAGCAAAGAGGAGACGTCTTCAATGAGCCTAATCAAAACAAGTAGAACCACGGCATTTGTGGGTTGGCACACAAGAGAGAGATAAAAACAGGAAAGACGCGATTTGGCTAACAATAGACGTGTTTGATCATAAAACAGGATCCTTGAATCACGACTATTGTTAACCAACTAGCTCTAGATTCTATTGCTTCTATCCTCTTCCTATTTATACTACCAAGTCTATGACTTCATATGCCCTAGTCTCTTGTGTGCCAACCCACAAGCATTGTGGTTCAGCATTGAACCGAGTCAGAGCAAGCAGTACCACAACATTTGTGGGTTGACACACAAGAGACTAGGGCATGGCAAATCATATACTTGGTATTAGGAATAGAAACAGAAAAGACGCGGCTGAGATTGGAGCTAGTTGGCTGACAGTAGGTCTCTTGTACCATAGACGTGGTCCATACAGCAAAGGCCTGATGATGAGACTTACTCATATGCTTGAGCCTCGAATTAGTCACCCAGACGCAGGGGAGGGCGAATACCGCCTCGAGTAGCACAGATGGGATGGCAGGGGTCGAGTGAGCTACGTGAATCAGCGAGAGAGCAGACGGATCTAACGGGGCAAGAGAGAGGCTGCGATAAGACCTAGGGAAGGAGGACTGCGTAACGATATGGCAGACTCTAATCCACATTCCCAGCACAAGGGTGAAGGAGGTGAGTACGACAGCGAGGAGTGTGAAGGGTTTTCATGAATGTCACTCAGAGGATCACACCACACTAGATCTAAACAAGCACGGTACAAATTATAACAGTGAAGGTGTGATATGAGGATATAGGAAATGTGATTAG